AAAAATTCTGCACAGCAAAAACTGCTGGAAAAAAAAATCAAGCAAGTGCTTTCTACTATCCAGGTCCTATTTTTGATGCACAAGCTATTGCCCACCAAAAAAACATGCACAACTAAAGCTGAGATAAAAATTCATGGCCCAGAAAATTGCCCAGCCCCAGCCCCAGCCGCCGCCCCCCCTCCCCCCCCCCAAAATACTATAATAATAATAAATTACCAATAAGACCAATGACAAAGTCCCATCTTCCACCCCTCACATTCATCATTTCTAGCTTCTCTTTAACATTTTGAAAGTTCACTGAGTCCTGATCACTGACTTGTTCCTCATTCTCAAGCGATACAGTTTCATCTTTTCCAATGATGTTGAACTTTCCCGCATTTTCATTGATCCATTCTTTTGCTGAGTCTACCAAACCAAACACCATTGGCATTCCAACAAACTGTTGACATGAACGCCGCAAGAAGCTGATGAGCTCTTCTATAAAATCTTTTGGCATTGCGTTCGAGCGGTTTGGTATCTCGATGGAAGGGATTTCTTCCGGGTATTTTGACGGAAGTGAAATCTTTAGTTGAAGAGATGAAACAGAAGAGGAAATGCTGAGGTCATCAATTCTGATCATAAACGCCGGTGGGAAAGCACTGAGCTCCGAGAATTCCTCAGGAAATATAGACTTCAGGGTTTCAACTTCCTCTCTTTGCTCTTCTAAATAATCCATTATACGATTGATTCTTACAACCAGTTGCTGCAGAGAAAAAGAACCAGTGAGCTCAAACTAAAACCACCATTTTAGAAATTCTTGGTGGTGCAATACATCGCGAGCTCTGATTGGTCTGTCTGTATCTACGCGAAAACATCCCAGAGGTCTGTTCGACGCTATCAGCGCCCGTTCGAAGAGTTTCAAGATGGCGTCGCGCATACTTTCTCGATTGAACTTGGTTTCAAAGAGATTTTTCTCTGCTGAGGCTTCGCAAGAGTCTTCATTTGTGGCGAAACAGTTGGCTGAATCAAAACATGCTGAATGTAAGTAATCTTATCGATTAATTTCCTTTAAAAATTGTACAAAAAGTTGTGACGTTAATATTTGTGATGAATACGCCATAACTTGTATGAGTATTGTACACTGATCCAAGTACACCTCCGAATTTAAACCAACACATGATGGTGGTTACTAAAGCTATTATTGTCAATCTAAAATGAGCTACGTGATAGCAGAACATGTCAAATCAGTCCAATAGATGTACGTTTTGTCTTCTTTCACGTTTTTAAATTGTTTCTATATGATCAGTCTGATGAGTGTGTCATACCGTAAGCTGCCGCTTATAAGCCCTTTGCTTATACATCTTCGTAAGGGTTTTTAGATGGGCTTTAAACAGAGGGGCTTATATCTGAGGGGGCTTGTAATAGGAATTTTAAAAAAAACCGTTTCGAAATGGGCTATAGCTGGACATGTTAATTAAAATAGCTTTTTCATTTACTGG